CTGCCCCTGGTCATCCAATCCACAATTTCAGTGGTAGCAATCCCCAATCGGGAACCGGAAGGCAGCTGAGGATACTCTTCGGATAAAAATGGACTCTGGTGGAATGCTCTACAACAGCGTTAGAAAAAAAAAAACTGGACCAAGATGGACGTCTCTGGCTTGGACGGTCGCTGGGACTGGCAAAACTGTCGACCGCTTATTTTGAAGACCTCCCTTCCTCTCCTTCGTTGGTTCTGCTTTCTTGGATCGATTTTTCGTCCCTTCCCTTCAAAACGCTGGTCAGCAGAAGGAAGGGCAATAACCATGTTGCCAGACGGAACCACGACAAAGACTGCTGATATTTGGGAGCGAGATACACTGATTTAAACGGTTTACTAAATATAAATGATATTAAGAATAAAATAATCCCTAACTCAACAAATTCTTTACCAATTTCGGTTGACTACAAAATACTAACACAATTCAGGCCTTAATCCAACTTACGAGCTAGCAGACAGGTGGACCGCTAGTTAAATTCAAAAATTAACCGTCACAGGTTTCTTCGGACAAAGCCTTCTGGCCAATTAGAAAACCGGCGGGTCCCATAATGAATGATTTGCTATTTTTTGTCACTCTTGAGTCCCACTTGCAGTGCTTGGTTTTTAGTCTATATCGAGATCTAGGTTGGGACTATTGCTGAACCATTTTCTAGTTTTTTTCTCGCTGGCATTGTGTTTTTTCTCACATTTCTTTCAGTTTAAAAAACAGCCTTACAAGACATGAGTTCACGATAGAATTGTTTTTGACAAACCATTTGGGATCGGCATATTTTTTATCGCCTCTATGTGAGGTTTTTGCAAATACAGGTTTGGACTCAATTCTGCCTGTCTTATCACCGTTGATGTGTAATTCTGCTTTAGAAAAGCCCATTTGTGGTCCTGTGTCTTCGCCTCCTCTCCAAGCCAGTTCATTGGACAGATAAAAAAATGCCTTGATGAAGTTCTTCGGGGGATTCTTAATTACATCTAGTGTTTAGCATTTTCAATTCATTAAAAGGTGGGAGACTCGCAGATTGCTTACGTTTATTTTCACAACCTTGCGAGTCTTGTCAATTTGCATTTCTTGCATCTCGCGCTCTTATAAATTCTATTTGCTCAAACGGATTTATTTTTCTTCTCTACTCCCTAAAACATTTCTCCATCAGTAGACTAGCTATGACGTTGCAGAGGGTTTTAGCAGTGTGTTCTTTGTATTCGCCTCTATCTTGTTTACACATGTTGCAAGGCCAATTTTTTTATATTGAAGCTAACGCAGAAATTGGAGTATTTTGATCTATATTGTAACTTTTTGCCGTACAGAAAACAGAAATTGTTTCCAAATGTACTTCTTGCTTTTTGCGGTGTTTGTTGGTTCGCATTACCCCCATTTCATCAATATATACGTCGGGATCATATCAAAAACCGCTAATTTTTATTAATAATTACGGTACCAATTAAGTACGCAGCATGAAGTTTGCTGACTTTTCAAAATGTAAACTTGCAATAGTAACTGTAGTTCAAACTACGGGTCTAAAATCTTCAACTTACGGATGGTTGTTGTTGAATATTTTCTTAATTTGCACAAACACAAATACAATTAACAATCCTGAACATTAATGAAATTATTCTATCCAGTATGAAACGAAAAATAGTTCTAATGAAAACAAGCTGCGAAGCTACTTCTGTGTTTTTCAGCGAAAAGTGATTTTACACTACACCCTGCAGCATTGCAAATTTTAAATACATTTTCTATTGATTTCGAAGTGTTTGTAGCATAATTCTGCGACTTCAGATCATGTTGCTCACTGGCTTCCGTAGCTAAAATAACGCCTGGCCATCCCGCTTTATACAACTGCATTTTCAGATATAACTTCAGAGATATTTTATTCGTTTAAAAAAATAATAGAATTGGTACTCTAAGTCTAGGGATTTCTGTAGCGCAGTGTATCCCATTTAGAAAACACGTGACGACAGCATTGAGATAAAATATTTTTTAGTTTAAGTCCATTTTGGAGTCCTCCCTGTAGCTAAAATATAGCCAACTCGATACCAGGCAACAATGTTTGTTGACTGAAAACGCCGTTATTAACAAAACTCATACATATTAGTTTTAATATTGCAAAAATAAAATATAATTTAAATCATAAGACAGCTGTGTGCGCTGCAAACGAGGCATTTTATAAAAGCAATATTCAGTTTAGCAAGTTTTAACAATGAGGTTAAAGGATAGCAGAGTAAACTTCACTTACGGTTAACTTCTCTTACAATTAATAGTCACTTTCATCTTCTAAATTGCAATCAATTTGTTTAAGGTGTTTGCAAAATGAGTTCGCCTACCACTCTGGCTGTGCACAGAGAACTTGCCGCCCGATTGGAACACGACGATATAGTTTCAAATATGTCGGCTGCAAGAACATGTTCACCCACAAGAAAGAGTTACATGTTAAGTGTGCGTGGCGATCGATCAAGATCAGAACAAGGTAACAGGAACAGTATTAAATGGAGAATTTAAGAAGCTTTGAACTTTTGAAATCTGAAACGTCTGAAACGAATTTTCAGGGCCGCATCCCTTAGCAGTCACGCAACATTTGTGGGGTGGTGCAAAAAAGACTAGAAAAAGAACTTCTGCTCCGCAAATGGGTGGAACAAATGCTGGAGGGTTAAGAACAGCGCTGATCTTGAGGTCAAGGAGGTCGTGGCCAGTGGCTCCAGTTACGCAATACAGGTAGGATACTTTTCGTTATGCAATTTTGAAAGAGCCATGTGTATTGTGTACTTATTTTGCGCAATAATGTCAATAACATGAATTGTTAAGTATTTGACGACGATAGTTAATAGGCATTTAATTCTATGGACATGTATATAATTTTATTTTTGAACTATAACAACGTTGTTGCCAAATATTTGATGCCTACCAAGCTTATGAGTTTTAGAGTTGCACTACTTTTCATTATAAATTACAATTCTAAAATTCACCTAACTAAACATAGCAATCGAATGGTGATTAGACGTGTTGCAAAATTGGAACAAAATTGAATCGAAAAACTCGCATAATGATAGTGATAGCCGACTACTACTGGAATATATATTAAATCAACTGCATAATACATGTATTGTAAAGACGTCCAAAAATTATTGATCAAGAAAATTGTGGAACATGGCTTAAATCTTGGTATACGATCTAAAAATAGGTCATGTCATATTTGTCAACTTCCTATTATAATTGGTAAGAGATGCCTATTTAAGTCCTTGGGTCTATTGCTCGATAGATAGATTTTCTGGGACCAACGTACATACCCTCAGAGATAGATGTGTATTTATTTGTCATCACCAACTAATGGAAACGAAACATGGTGATTTGTTCTGAGAGCTGCAGAAGCGTTTCTTAATTTTAGTTTACTAAATGTTTCCAATGGATTGTGCTTACCTCGAACATATCTGAAAATAGTAAGAACATAGTTCGCACTGTTGATTGCGTAAATAGTTTACTTTTATAACGTTAAAAGCACAAACAAGAACAGAAAATGTATTTCTTTAAACGAGCCGCTATGCAACCAATTTTCATCCAGCAAACGGTAATTTGCTGTAATTGTGAAGACTGACTATGCATACCAATATACGCATTTTCCAATAATGTGGTATGCAAAAGATGTACATTCAGATACAGCAGACACAGATTCAGCAGTATACCGGGTGTCAATTGGAAAAATTTGCATCTTTAATATCCTTCTTGCAGTTGAAAATATGAAAAATCGGAGAGACACGTCAATTTTATTTGTAAAGGGGTCACTTTAAATAAATAGTTTTAGCTTTCTTAGAAAGCTTCCTGTTTAGCATTAGAATCTTAAATACGAATGGGAGTCAAGTGGCACATCGTTTTAAAGGGCGTTCAATTCTTGTAACAGTAGTAGTTACTTTGTTGCTGTTGCATGCAGCAGGTGTCGAATAACCGCGCTTCAAAATTGCGCAAACAATTAAGCTTGCCTGCTTTCAGATTTTGGTTTTCTGGTTAGTGTTTACACAAAAACTATTGCATTAAGTCTTATTGTACTATACATGATCAGGAGAGTAGATTATACTGTTGAATAACAAGAATATAATCTGGTTTAAATAATTTATTTTTTTAATTTGCTGATTGTTTTGATTCGACAAAAATATTTTTTATTTGCGGAAAAGAAATTGTTTATAAGTTGTTCAATATGTTGTACATTTTCCTGTAAACAATAATAAAGTCTATTTTCGAACTCATCCCTAACATTTCGGGAAAGTTCACTGGGAACTAACCGTCATTCTGCTGAAATTCGCCTTTTAGGATCATCAGTATCAGCAGGTTGGGTTGCATAAACAGCAGATTTAAGATGCTCCCAAAAAAAGAAGTCTAAGGGTGTTCATTTCGGTGATCTCGTAGGCCATTCAATAGGTCTCCTTCTGTCCAACCATATATACGACACTCTCTCGTTTAACCACTCTGGGGCCGGAAGAAAATATTGAGGTGGAGCACCGTCCGCTGGAATGTTAACAAATCCTCCTGTAAAACTAAATTACCCTCTGCATACCCAATGTGAGTTACTAGCTCATTGGTGATACGAGGATTTATAGTCTCTTCAAGCATGTTAAAGTACAGATTATCTGTCAAGTTTTCTTCAATAAATAAAGGATCAATTCTGACAGTTCCATTAAGAGCAGCCCAAACGTAAACTTCATGGGGATATTGTGGATGTCTTTATCGAAAAATATGCGGGTGTAGGGACGATACGATACTGAGAAAGTATCGATACTCACTCAAATGAGTAGTAACCGAATCATCTTGCGATACTACTCATATGAGTATTCTGAAAGTATTGATACTTACTCAAATGAGTAGTAAGCAAATTGTCTTGCAATACTGCTCATATCAGTATTCTGAAAGTATCGATACCATTACCTGCTCACAATTTTATTAACTGACTCGATATTGAGTGACTCTACGTATAATCGTCAGAAACACATTTTAAGTATACACTTTCGATGAGTTTTTCAAAACCAAAATTAACTCTTACCGTGAATTTTAATAACGTTTAAATAACGTATTGTAATAATATTCATGGAATATATTTTAATGCACTTATTGCCATAAGGTAAACAAAAAATATCCTTTCCGAAGGTTTCCCAAAAAATCAGTTGCTGCCAGCATAGCACCAGCTTTTGGAAATAGATATTCACTTACCATTACATTACCTTAAAATTAGGTTGAAGCACGTTCAGAAGCCGTAAAAATGCTTCTCCTTCCACAATGTAGGAAGGCAATAATTGCAAACAACCAACGCTAAAGCCTGCACTATTTTGTTGTATTTTGAACCTCCCTCCAAAATAGATATATTCGATAAAGAAAAAGTACTAGAAATTATTTATTTTCCGTATTGGCCGCAACTTGTAAAAATGCGTCTTCTAAAGTACTTTATGGAAGTTTGTTACTATCCGTACTAGCATCAAAAAAACTTTTTCCTTCCAACCTATTTTATAATTTAGAACAGCTAGATGTTGACGGCTGTGACATATCCAACTCAAGTTCTACAATAGACTTCATAAAATATCCTATATCTTCGTAAATATATGTTCTGTGACTTTGGGCAGTGTTTACACTTTTGATAATTCGATTCGATACGAGTACTTTATTTTTATTTATTTTATATTTATTTATTATCAAAAGAATGGAATACCTACTTGTATTTACTTGTATCCAATAATCACTATCTAAGAGGCGGCACTTCACGTAAGAGTGTCATAACGCATATTGATCTAATTGATCTAGTCGTAATATGGTACCATATTAAAGTTAGGCTGGGTCAGTAAGAGTGACATAACTCACGTTTAATGACTTTTATCAATTTTCACTATTTTTAAGTTCAGTTAAGACGATTGACAATAGTCTTGACTGTGACGGTGTGTACAGTTTCGATAATTTGATTATTTACGACCATGCGATACTTCGATTCGATATGAGTACTTTATTTCGATACCAAATATTGGTATCGAAAGAACGATTCAATTACCAAAGTACTCGGTATCGAAACAAAAGTATCGAAATTAATTTCAATCCAAAATCATGCTTACTTCACAAAATCTATCCAATAACAAATTGGGAAACAACCATTTAAAAGGAGCATTCTAATTCAATATATTTGATCAAATCTTTGAGTATATCACAAGTACGTAATCCCTTTTTCATAGCTTGGAAAATCAGCAAATTGTTATAATGTGTCTAAAACCCCTTTTATTCTGGGTCGACAAAATACGGCCAACTTCTGATCGAGCAAAATCTGAGGATTATTTGAGATATTTCCAGGTTTGTAGTCAATGCTCCCCAAGTTCGATAAAGCTAAAATATGGCGATATTAAACTCTGAATTCTCTGGAATGGCACCTGATAAATACCTCTCATGGAATCCTGGTATAAAATTTCAATGACATTTAGCAGTGTTTTTATTGAGGTAGTTGTAAGGCGTGAAATATTGTGGCCTGTTTACCATTAAGCAAAAAACATGTTTCAACTAAATAACGTTTTGCGCCAGATAAATTTCAAAAAAGTTAGAAAATATTTTCTGTTATTTAAAATATTCGTCCACGTAATATTTATTAATAAGCACCAATAAATATTTTATTGAAACTAATTTAACTAACTACTTCCTTTTTGGAAGTTTTTCTTATAGATTTTTGAAATCATCATTGCGTGACAGAAGTCTGAAGGCTCTTACCATCAAAATTATTTTGGAAGGTTAAATCATCGGTCACTTCATATTGATCTAAATCCAATTCAATTAGTTGGTCAAGATGTGTTGCACCCTTCAGGATCAAGTTTCTGAGGGGTCAGGCAAATCTGCTTAAATCTCTCAGGCATTTATTACGTTATCTTATCTTATTGACCCTTGTTTGTCCCAGTAAGTTTTTCGGGTTTACTAAGCATTTCTAACATGGCAATTATAATTGAAACTTTTCCGAGCTGTAGTCTTCTGACACATTTTACTAATACTAAGAATTCATGATTAATTCCATAGAAAAAAATGTGGTATATTATACAGGGTTATTCACGCTATACGGAACTGACGTTTGCGGCCAGCCCGTTGGTTTTTTGCAAAGTATTATTTGAAGAATCGACAGACGCCTATCGGGTGCACATTTAGAAAATATTTTTGTAATGTACAGAGTGTCCCAAAAGCCCTAAAAGTATCAAAGTTGTGTTTTTCTAAATGAAATACCCTATATATTATTGCATTTT